CTTTATCGACACGCATGGCAGAGGGACAGGAACTCACAATGCGCGGGTTGGACGGCAAGCTGGACATGGGACGGAAGAAATTGAGTCTAGAAACATGCCTCGGCATGAGTCGAGCTACTGGTGCCAGCATTGTGAGTATATTGGTCGGAGGGGTGCGAAAGACAGGAGCGGCGTATTTGCAATTGAGAGGCTTTGTCTTTTCGAATTTTGGCACAGACAGCTCCGATTTCTTTCGATGACAGCATCCCAGCTGCCCAGAGTCAGTCAAGGAAGCTTGAGCCACCACCTGCTCCAGCCACAGCCACAGCACTCAACCCCACTTCGGCTGACTGTGGCGCGGGGTTAAGAGAGCGCGATCAATTAACCAAGACGCGGTGTTTCGCTGCGATGGACGCGTCTCAATTAAGCCTTTGGCGTCCCTCGCGACTGTTCTTGACAACCACTCTGTGACAAGTGCGACAACCGCCACTCCGAAGAAGATCCTCGAATTTTGATACACTGCCATCTCCATACCATTCAAATCACAGAGAAACGTCTCAATCATGGATCCGCCACCGTCAATATCTCCTAAGCGCAAAATGCCCATGGCCAACATCTTTGCCGCAAGGACGCCTGCCCCTCCATCTTCTGCGATACCCTCGTCCTCGCCCGCATTCGGCACCCCAGTCCATCCTTTGAAGCCTTTCAAAGTCTCAGCGCCGACGAAACACGCGATCCTCCCCATCATTCTACCTCCAGCCACACTACGACCACTGGCATTCCGAACCTTCACAAAGAAACACAGTCTGACCATTGCCTCCTCCGCCTTACAAGAATTGGCTACATTCATCGGCCGGCATTGTGGTTCCGCATGGCGAGAGGAGGGACTCGCAGAGAAGGTTCTGGAGGAGGTGGCAAAGTCATGGAAAGGCCGCAATGGTGGAGTTATCGTCGATGGCGCAAGCCCAGAGCTTAAAGATATTCTGAAAAACTTGGAGGGAAATATGAGCGGGGGCAAAATTGTGGCCGGCGCCAGAGGCTTGAGTCGACAGAATAGCCTTCTGATCGAACCGGGGCAAGATGTGGACATGTCAAACGCGAGATTGGGTTTGCGGCCGGCACAGGCATCGTTGGCTCGAGAGGACAGCCAACAGAGCTTTGGCATGTCTAGTCTGGGCGTCGAGGAAGAAGAGGACGACGAGAGTATCAAGGATCCGCGGAAGTGGTTCAACGTAATCGATGCCTACGATCAGCCAAGATATTCCTACAATGTTGCCAAGAAGCATTTCGAGAGGTACGACATGGGTTCTGCCCGAGGCAGGAGCTTACTTGCTAACGATGAGCAGGGAAACCTCAAAACCTTCACTCCTACCGCCAGCATCACACAAAACTGCGCTATTCAGAAACAGGTACAATGTCATACACCAGAGATTGCTCAGGAACGAGTCCTTCCAGACGTCAGCAGTTGCGAGCACGAGGGCTCCTTCGGGCAAACGGTCATCATCAAACCAACTAAACCACAGAATTACCCCAATCGCCAATCTTTTAGGTCGCCATGGTAGCCACCACATGCTTTTGGGGATGTTGAATGTGTTGCCTGCGGGAGGCCTCGCGATTAGCGACCTGACGGCCACTATTGCCCTAGATGTGTCACAAGCTGTTGCAATCCCCGAAGATTCGGCTTGGTTCGCTCCTGGAATGGTTGTGCTCGTGGATGGTGTTTACGAGGAAGAAGAGGAGTCCGTCGGCAAGGGACTGAGTGGTAGCAGCGGTGTCGGAGGAACACTAGGCGGCAGGTTCCAAGGCTTCTTCATCGGTCAACCCCCATGCGAGAAGAGGAGAGCCACATTAGGAGTCAGTGGTCCCGATGGCGGCCAGGATCACACCATAGGAGGTGGATTCGGCTGGATCGATTTCCTCGGCGTCGGAAGCGAACGAGCCGTCGGATCCAAGATGCGGAAGCTTGAACAGCGTTTACTGCCCCGCCACTCTGCCGAGGAGGTGCCTAGTAGAGGGCGGATGGTGATCATCGGCGAGTTGAACCTTGACCAACCACGAACGTTGCAAGCCTTGCGAAGGATACTTGCGATATATGCAGCTGAGCCCGAAGGCTCAAGTCCAATGACTTTCGTTGTCACGGGCAATTTCACGCAGCATGCTGTTCTTGCCAGGGGTGGTAGCGGCGGCAGCATTGAGTACAAAGAATATTTTGACGCCTTGGCCTCGGCCCTGTCCGACTACCCCACGCTCCTCCAAACGTCTACATTTGTGTTCGTTCCTGGAGACAACGACGGTTGGGTGTCAGCGTTCACTGCCGGCGCTGCGACACCGCTGCCTCGAAAAGGTGCACCGGATGTCTTCACATCACGTATTAGACGCGTTTTCGCGGCGGCAAATGCGGAGCTCGGGGCCAAGAGCGATGGCGAGGCCATCTGGACGTCGAACCCAAGCCGTTTGACACTCTTCGGTCCGAATCACGAAGTTGTCGTCTTCCGAGATGATATCTCAGCTCGCCTCCGCCGCACGGCAGTCCGCCTCAAGTCATCGAAACAGAATGCCGGCGAGGATGAGGAGACCCAGCCTCCCGAAGACGGCAGCGGAGCAGACGACGTCAATATGGCAGGGAACGACCAAGTCGAAGCAGACGAGGCTATGGACGTCGATATTCCCAGCGAGAAGCCCGCTGTAAAAGAGGTCAATTCGAGCCTGCCTCAAGACATTCATGCGGCGCGGAAGCTCGTCAAGACGATCTTGGACCAAGGGTATCTGTCGCCTTTCCGTCAAGCGACCCGCCCAGTGCACTGGGACTATGCGACGGCTCTGCACCTCTACCCTTTGCCAACATCAATGGTCCTTGTAGACACGACGGCGCCACCGTTTTGTGTGACGTACGAAGGGTGTCATGTCATGAACCCGGGCAGCATTCTTGTGCCTGGACGGACGCGAGTCGGTCGCTGGATAGAGTATGAGATTGGCAAGATTGGCAAGTTACGGGAGACGACGTTTTGAGTTACAGCATAGCGGCTTTGTGTTTTACAATACAATAGACTTGGGGCCGGAGTCGTGGCTACCTAATAAGGGCTGTTGGCAATTGGGGTTGAGAATGATACCACCATCTTCAAGGAAAGACAAGTCCCTTGAACGATGAGATGAATCTGCACATGGAATGCCGTTTACTCTGTGTCTATTTTATCCTTTGATGGGCACATAATCACCAGCCTAGAGTTCTCTCTCCAGTGTTCTACGGCTGGGGCGATGGCTTCCGAGGAGATGGACGTATTGGCTCTTAAGCTAATTAAGATAAGATTACCAAGTGACGCTTCTCTCAAGTTGGGGAGTTCATCACCGTTGATAGATATGGCAGCATGCTTCCTGTGCCTGATCAGAGGCCATCATTGGTTGAATCCTGGTTGGGAAGTTTTTGACGATCTTCATAGGCTTCATTGGCTGTGTTGGCTTTACGCAAGTAGCAACGCAGCACCCGACATGGCCATTTCGAAGACGCTGTTTCCTAGCACAGTTCAGGCTGCTCGAAAGGTTTGACATTGGGTTCCGGCTCTAGATACAGAGTTCGAGAGGTACAAGCTCAAGGTCATGATGATCACCAAGGCATGAGGTTGAAGTTCCACTTCCTCGTGGAGAAGCATGTTCCCCAAGCACGCGGGAGAAATGAGCTGCGCGTGAGTTGTCACTCCACGCAAATTTTCCTGGCTTAGCGCACCGCTAGACCACCGGAGGCAGGAGATAGCCGTGAGAGAGTAAGGTAGGTAGGTTGCGTAACATGAAGATAGGTGACTCTCTCTTTCCAGACTCCAGCCAGTCATAGCAGCCCAGACCTGGTTTGCGCTTGACCGCTGCTGAAACGGAGTTGACCAAAACGTGGAAGTCGGCCCACGTACTGGGTGTTCTTGCGGCATTCGTTCCCGCCCTTAGACACATTTCTGTGACTCCCTCCCAGCTTGTCCATCGAATTCGAGCGTGCACTAACACCACATACCGCTACCCTGGTCGACATTCCCATAATGGGATAGGTACCCCATGGTCTTGTCCCTCTATCCCTTCTTTCTTCCGTCTCAAGTCCTGGCATCCGTCGGACCCGACCGTTAGGTACCTTGGTATGCTGTGGTCCCGGCGAGCGTATTTCAAGTGTCCAACACTATCCGTCTGTGTTCACCCAGACACAGTTTGGCTTTGTGTATTGTTATCGAGGAAGAACAAAATACCTTAGAACAAGAGATGAAGGTCCATGGCGGCCCAGACCGCGGGCTAAAATAAGCGAGAAAGTACTCCGTACCAACGCCAAGTTCGGCCGGGTCTGGACTCCACTCCTTCGCAGCATACCTTCCAAAATACAGTGCTCCGGTTCGGCCCAATCAAGTCAGCAGCAGACCACTCACCTTCAATCGCCTCGCATCGCCTTGTCCTGGGCGCCACTGGAGCACGCCCTGCATCGTGGGGAATCTCGATCGAGATCTCACAGAATTTCCCTATCTTCCGCCCAAAGCCCCATTCGGCCTTCCCGGGCAGTTTCGACCGCCGATCTTCCTCCAAGACGACGCAGGAGGCACAACTGAATGACTTGGCTTTCGCCAGCATCGCGAACACCACTCGCCAGCACTGCGTGCGCGCTTGCGTTGCCATCCAGGTTGTGTGGGCAGCCTCGGCCTCAAGCTCTGCCTTGCTGACTGACATTGTCGGTGACGCCAGCTCCGTTTTCGAATAATCTACCTTATTTCTGCATCTCGGCTCGGATTGTTGCTGCCGCTCCTGCTGCTCTTGACGCTTGTTAGAGCGTAAGAAGAAACGCTCCGAGCCTTTCAGACGCCACCTCACGAGCCGTGGGACCTACCATTTGTTTACCATCGTCAGCGGTTGCTGCTACATACCGTCTGGATCCGCCGCACCGACGTTGCACCCATTTGTTTTGAAGTTCATGGGTCTGGACATCACGGCATTCCGTCCCCGCTCTCAGTGAACCGCCGTTGGCAGGACCACACCATCACAAGCAATCAAAAAAAGCCATGGCATTGTCACCGGGTGGCATCGTTTCGGCTCAGCTAGGCTTCCTTGCCATCTTCAACCCATCGTTGGGTCATTCCGATGAGACTCTTGACGATCAAATTGTTTACTACTCTTCAGTCAACACCCAACGACATAAACGGCGTCACCGCTCACGTGCAAAGCCAACTGAGAATCTGTCTCAAGAGGAGCGCAATGAGCGTCTTCGTCAGATTGGTCTTGCCCAGGGCATGGTCGAGTTCAGCAAGAGCTTCTCTGGCGGCCAGCCTGTCGACTCCATCGACACGGACAAGACACGTGTGATCCTCCATGAGCTGGAGCAAGACTGGTGGATTCTTGCAGTACGTTTCTCCTTACACTGCTTTGTTTTCCTATTGCTGATTGCCTGCAGTCCATTGATCTTACTCGTATTCCTTTGCCGCCCAAGCTTCAGACAGGGAAAGCACAAGAAACCCCAGAAGAGGTTGTCGAGTATTCATCTAAGGAGATTAAGCCGTCATCTCTTCTGTTGCAGGATCTGCTCCGTGCTCATACTATCTTTCTGCTTCATCATGGCACCTCACTCAGTGCCCTGTTTGTTCGCTCCCGAAGAATGAGTTTCCTCAGCCTGCTTGGTCGGTATTGGGACCTATTTTTGTCAACTTGGAACGTAATGTTACAAGGGAACCCAATTCGCACAGTATTTGGAGGCATCAACATCGCTGCGTCTGGCGAACTGGGCATTGGCGTCGGCGAAGAGGAGCGGGGCAGTGGGGAACGAGAGGTGTTGGAAGGGCTCGTCACTAGAGTTGAGGGTCTTAAAGACCTGGTGGTCTCAAAATTTGGATCATTGGATGCCGATGGGGAGTCGAAAACCGGGAAGGAGCCGAAGAGGTCCTGGCTGGGTACAGGAGAAGATCCAGGTCCTGAAGACGGTGCCATTTTTCTGGGGATAGGAGCGTTATCTCGCAAGTCCGTGAGAGATATCACCCTATGGATGGAAGACTTGTATACATGGGGAGAAAACGCCTACGGCGTCATTGATAGTCCGACATCTCTTCGCGCTGGCCGACGGGTGAAGAGATCTAAGCCGGTCCCGGAAGCCAAACCAGCACCAGCCCCGGCGCTTACAACGAAGCCAGCAGTACGGCCGCCGGTTCGCCCCAACAATCATCGATCAAATTCTGGCTCTGCTTCTGGGAGCTCGACCTCGACGAGAACACTGGCTGAGCGGCGTGGGCTTGATATTGGTACGGTGAAAGAAGCCAAAAGGCCAAGTGACACCAAGGACAATTCGGCCCCCGTTCCCGAGATCGGCGACACCGAAGCCGACACTGTAGCCGCTACCGGCTCTACCGCTACGCCAACTCAAGGAGAGAGCGATGGCCACATGGACAAACTTATGACGGTCATGAAGTTGGGGTACGGCACGTATTGGTCAATCGGCAAATCGGATACTTCTTCGTCTGCGGTTAGGAGCCAACTATCTGCCGTTGCTGCGTTTCAAACTGGGGAGTCCTCTAAGGCTGCGGTGAACCCGCATGTGAAACCTAAGCAGATGGAAGATGACGAGGGACACTACCTCATTGGCCTGATGGGCGATGTCGAGGAGGGTAGTGGCGATGAGGAAAACGGAGCCTCAGATGAGGCAGCTGAGCCCGAATCGAACTCTCGTACCATGCTACGCACCGTCCACGTTGAGCTTGACAAAGTTGGCACGGATCGCCTAGAAGCAGATGTCGTGAGGAACCTCGGCAACCTCACGAACGATGTGACGCCTCTCGGAGCCAACGCTGTGAGCTCGAACCCGACATTTGGAAACCAGGACTCGAACAAAGCAAGCAAGATGCGCGTCGTCGTCTACGTAAACAAACCCTTCATATTTACTTTCCTCTTTGAGTTGAGGACCGACTCGCTGGCCTGGGACTCGTTCTACAAGTCTCTTCATTTCCAGTTAGCACCTTTACGAAAGCCACTTTTATCTTCGATCCAATATCGGCCAGATAGGCCGGAGTCCAGTTCTTCATCGTCCAACATCTACGATCTCGTATGGGACGCTGAGGCTATGACGGTACATTCGACCATACCAAATATTCCGGACCACACACAAGCATTCCTATCAAACGCACCATTACCATGGTCAAGAGTGGAGGCCATGAACACACACATGCAACTACTCAACATTTTCAACCTCACCAGGCCGGAAATGAATCAGCTCGAGAGGACCTGCAAGACCAATCGTGGCTGGTGGGTCGTCTGGCAGCGCATCCTGAATCGACACGCCACGAGCGACGAAGCATTTCAGCCAGCGCAGAACTACGAGGATGGCGCCCAGTCGACGTCGGATAGGGACGTTTCCCCAGCGAGCGGCGATGGATCCAGCACAGCGCGGCCGGCATCGCCTACGCCGCCGAGCCCGACGGTCAGTAAGGAGATTATCCTGATCCGTAGGGCGAGCGATCACGCCGGCTACCGCGGCGTCAGCTCGTCGTTCGCCGAGGGCGGCATAGGACTGACGGGATCTGGGTGGGGCGGTGACGGCGCGGGCCGTCTTGCGTCGGGGATCGGCATTGACACACGGAAGTATATTGAGGGGCTCTTGAACTTTAGCCGGTGAAGAACACGATGTAGTTGCTCTAGAACTCTCCAAAATCTAGGGCGGCCGGGGCGGTGGTCAATTTTCCTTCCTTTCTCCAACTTCTAGGTTGAGAGACACGCGGAGTACGCGGGGAGCGCAAAAACGGATTAGCTACGGCTGTGGCGTTGGGTTCGTGTCAATAACAGGGGAGACATCATGATGATACGCATCAGCGGTGGACTTTTTTTTCCCCCCTCGTCAAGAACATGATTAGATGAGGGTAATTTTTTGTCAATGAATGACCAAAGGTCGATATCCCATGACCGTGCGTAAACCCATTGCACTCGAGTAACGTCATGATTCCTTTCCTGGCGTACTTTTTAGGACGAAAGTGCCCGGCTTGGCTTCGGGCTAATTTTGAGTCCACGGCGTGTGTCTGTGTGTCTGCTCTGCTCTGCTACACTACCTAGACTTGTTAGTAACAGCAGGTCATAATTTCTGCGCTAGAGAAATTGTAATTCTTCTATTGCCGCAGTAGCTTGACAGCGGCTCGGTAGCCATGACGCCATGGGATCTAGAAGTGTGACGCGTGACATTTTGGATCTGGGTGTTGAGTTGAGTGTGAGTAAGTGTCCTAAACGTCACGATCCAGGGCAGTAGTGTAAGGCGAGCAGAATCGCCTTCGGCCCTGGGTAGGGGGCTTCTGAAGGCGACAACAGATGAGTAGTTGATTACGTCTAGAAATGGGACATCAGAGGGCTTATGAAGAATGGATGATCGCTTGGCATAGCAAGCTACCTAGACGAAAGAGCTGCAGGGTGACGCCAAGCCCTTTACGTTGGATGAATGTGCTTTCTTTTGTCGGTGCCGCCAGTCTCAATGGCTGCTTCACTGATAGCGGCAAAATACGTCTCAGAAGCTGAGAGTCGATTTTGGTGAGGGAGAAACAAAGACCATGATACTTCCGATGCCACTAATGAGCGGATGAGGTCTCTTATCGCTCCGTTTTATGTCCCTAACGAAACTAAATGAAAGTTAGAGAGCAAGAGACTGAATGGAGATGTACGAAGATTTAAAGAGATCTTCTTAACCTCTATGTTCATATGATGATAATTGTAGCTAGATACTGTCCGCTCTCAAGCGACAAAAAAAAGGTCAATCAGGACTTAGGGGACTGTGGACTGGTAGGGCTGATTTGAGGGTGTAAATCATGACCGTGAGTTCACCACGCCGGAAGCTTGTTGAATAGTACGCGGGTGTGACTGTTTGTCCGTAGGGAAGCCACCGGGGGATTTGCTGCTCCTGCGTTTTCTGTTATTTACCTTGATTATCATGACTCCTGGCTGAATATCTGTGAGGGTCTAGATGGATGGCAGCTCAAGTTCGACGCGACAGACTTTCCCAAGCGCGGGATATGCTGGCTTCACCTTGTTTCACCGAAGTAGTCGCACAAGGTTCGATAGGACGACAGCGATCGTAACAAGGGTACAGAAACAATGAGCCGGGGCTTAGATGTGTTGTGGATGGTCGAAATGGATGCTTTCTCTAGGGGTGGTTGCTGGGCTGCGGCCGACTTCCCCCAAAGCAACAGCGAATCGCCAGGAAGAGAGGGGGATTTGCTGCAGGGGCCGGAGAACGCACGGCAGACAAGGCGAAGAAGGAGGGGCAAGAGGATTTCCAAGGATCCCAGAGAAGTGGGAGGGGGACTGCGAGGCTCTTCACCTGCCAACCGGCATCACCCCGCCGATAATAACCTACGGAGTGCAGCATGTAGGGGTTCTATGTACTTCATAGGGAAGGTAGGGAGAGGGTCTGACAGAGTTGACAGGGCTCAGAGCACCGAGAAAAGTCTTTTCACCTACCATCCCTACCACAGGAAAGCTGGATGGGAAACTCATGAACCCTGCAGGAAGGGCGAAAACAGAGCCACAATTGCCAATGAGAGCCGCGCAACCACGAGCGCTGCGGCCTTGCTTCCTTTTGCTTGCGGCCTCCCAAGAGTTTCCCAACAAGTCCACAAGTTGGACGAGAAGAGGGCCCAGTGGTCCACGGCTTTCGGGCACGTCGGGAGAGGCGCCCACCAGAAACGCGCCACCATCTGTAAGAAATCTTTCCCTCTCAGCCCCGAGTTGCTCACTCCCCCTGCAAAGTTCTACTGCCTTGGTTTCAGAAGCTAGCTGTTGCCAGTTGAATATGCCCTATCCGTCAGTACGGGGCAGGTCGGTGGGCGCGAAATGTATGACGGTCGCGGATGTCCCAGGGATTCGTTGGGCTGAACGCGGTCTCGTCCAAGCCGTCTAGCGGCATCGTCGGAGCCGTCTTGGACCCTTGGATGATGCCATTGGACCGCGTTAGGCATGTCAGGCGCTCGAGCAACATCAAGCTTGAAGCTGCAAAGCAATGCGTGGAAGCTCGCGCCCTACCGAACGGTGTCATGTACAGTGTCTTGCGTGTGCGCATGTGTAAGTACATCGAGGCTCAGATGCCAGTAGATAGAGCACGGAACTGAGGTAGGTAGGTGGGGGGGAGGTACGTACCGTGTTAGTGTTGATGGTGTTGTGTTGTGTTTTGCGCGCGTGAAGGAAAGACATTGGCTGGTGAGGTCATAGTTCCCGCAAGTGCCGATCCATCATCGAAGCTCTATCTCCCTCTTGTCCTTGTCCGCGCGCAGCTTCCGCAGCAGCAGCGCACAATCTCCATGCCCGGTGCCGAAAGAGTTCTTCTTCACCTTGCACAGTAGAGGCGGCTTAGGTTAGGTTCCCATCCATGTCCGACTGACTTTTTAACCTGGGAAGAACCCTCCTCGACCGATCCCATCCCACCCTCCCAACTTATTAAAGATACCCTTGTCTGCTGCTCATTGTGACTGCCTTTCCGCCACGACCTTAATCACCCGACAACCAAAGTCCAGATCCAGAACTATCTTATTTGTCCCACGCCACCCCTTAAGACTCTGTTTGACTCTTGTCCTCCTCCACATCACACACACAATTACAGTCCGAAATCGACATTTCGTTGTTTGTCTGACAATATCAACAGCAAAGATTCATCATCGTCATCAAGCACCAGTCACGCCACAGTCCAGCTTCGTCTTAGACACAGCTATAAACAAATCGTCGACACCAATTACACATTCCGGTGCTTATAGAGAACCGTCCTCTCGGCTTTTTCAAGCTCTCTAGATACCTGAAATCGCTCTTGCCGAATTCTCACGACAAGCGATACACAACCAGCCCAACATGATGGAATCAATGTTGCAGGTCCTCGTCCGAGGTGTACAGATCCTCTGGGTCCTCCTCGTCACAGCATTGATCGGCAATGTCATCGCCCTCAACATTAACAGCGCCGGCTCCGCTATGGCTGCCATCAACTTCTCCATGTTCGTCGCCGTCCTCAGCTGGCTGGCGGCTCTGTACGGCCTTGCCGCTGCCTTTGTCTCAGCCATCGCCATTCCCATTGTGTTGTTGGCACTTGACGGCGCAGCCATTCTCTTCACCTTCATCGACGCTATTGTTCTCTCGGCCAAGCTGCGCGCAGTCAACTGCGGCTCTCTGAACAGAAGCAACCTGCCGAGCGATTACATCGTCTGGGGTTCCGGCGACGATGAGAAGCGATGCCGCGAGATCCAGGCTAGCACCGTATTCATGTGGTTCCTCTTTGCTAGCTTCTGCGCAGGAGGCTTCTTCACCTTCATGAACTTCCGTCGCGGCGGTGGCTCTGTCCGCAGCTCTCGCCCTAGCATGGCCCAAGTCGGCGTCTAAGTCTACGACTTTCTCAACTATGTGCGGCGCAGACTCTGCAAAATGAAATAGAGAACAAACGGGGTATGGAATTGGACGGGCCGGCTGGGTAGGACATTTGGTCATCGCAAGACTTGCAGGAAGACCACTGAGTCCTGACGGCGTTGGCGGCAGGTTATTGATAACTTTACCTTTCACGATGGCATGTAGTAATAATGAATGACTGGATATGGGTATGGGATGACATGGATATCTTGTCAGGGATACGGCGGTGCCTATGATGCCTTGGGAGCTGGGGCATTTGTCATGGAGCCATCAGCAGCTCTTTGTAGTACAACAACGAATTGATACCATTCCACGACTTTACCCTTTACCTACTACATGTGACCCAATAAGGATTATAGGATATGAATTACGTATTCACCTCCGAGATTGACCAAATCGATACTGAGAATACTGCGATCGTGAGCTAGTTGACCCCCTTGGCATCGAGATATGCTTGATAAATTCGTTCAAACGTTCGATTTAGATCTAGTCTTTTGGACCGGGCTGGATGCCTCGCCTCAATATGTGCCGCCTGGTCTTCTATGACGGCTTGCCCTCAACGCCAACCATGTATACACGCCGAACACCATGCAGGATGTTGCGGGCTTGGTAGTAGAATGCCCAAAGTCTCGTTTTTCCAAAGAGCCCAGTAAGCCCCAAAATGCGCTTCTTATAATGTTGCCGCTGCCTCAGCCGCGCCGGCGGCCTTGAAGGCGCCCTTGTTCGTCCACCGCACCTCGACGTTATGCATCCATTCCATGTATCGTGACCAGCCTGTGGGTATACCGTGTCAGCACCTTGAACGATGACGAGAGACTTGAGAGACCGGGGCGAGGCTTACTCCAGTATGCAAACTTGCGACCAAAGTATTTGCCGGCAAAGGGAACAATGACCATGGTCAAGAGGAGCTGGACCTGCTCCAGACTACGCTCCCACTCCTCCTGGGCGTCTGATTCATCCTCGGAGTCTAGCACGCTGCTCGATATTGAAGGCAGGGAGTCAATCTCGTCGTTATCGGAGGAAGGTGAGACGTCGTCGTGCAGGATGAAGGAGTCGGTGGATGCCATCATGTCGGGGGAAGGCAGGCGTCGTCGGCAGCTCGGTTCTTGGGTTCAGGTGCGTTGGATGAATCGGGGGAGGAGGATATCAAACTCGGTCGGCACGCTGCTTCTCGGAAATAGCTAGGGTCTGTCCCTTGCACGCGTCCGCTTGATGTTCGTAGCTGTTGTGATACAAGACGACCCTCTTGATGGGCGTTCGCAGGGGACGGTTGATTCAAGGTCCGCGATGTCTCTCCAATGGTTAATGCCGGTGCAGCTTGAATGGGCCAACAGCGGAGATCGGAACGCCTGGAGCTCTCTCTTCCCCGTTTCCTCAACCAGAAACGGCAATCAGGACGGCCACTCGCAGACGTTGGGACCTCGATTGTAATTGGCTTGCAAGTCGCTTTTGATGGGTCCTACTAACGCTGCAGGCGAGGAGGCATGGTGACAGACGGCAACGGGCACAAACGGAAAGAGTCACCTTGCAGTCACGTGAGACGTACAATCACTGAGTCACAGCCCACCCTCACCTGTCGGGCGCGCAGCCGCTACCTTACAGTGGGCAAAGATAGTCGTCTTCCACCCTCACGTCACACCCCCTCAAGAAAATCTCCCACCTGCTGCAGCCAATTCTCAACTCTGCTCTCACAAATTCGCATTACCGAACCATTTTGTGACGGACCACAGACAACCTCCTTCCGCCATTTCACAGACCGGTCGTTTGGGATTTCTGCACCATATCGTGCCGACAGTAGACTCATTCAGTCGCACCGTGGACCAGCCCAGATTAATACCAGCCCAAAGGAATTCGCCAGGCGCCGCCCCAGGATACCTAACCGAGACTCGGTTCAGTGAGACACAGACCGCAATCATGGATGTCGAAGTAAGTTACCGTTGCTAGCCCTCCCTCATGCGCACTTCTGAGCACCACCACCCACTGGCCCCTCCACCAATCCCATGCTTGATTACCCCACTGCGAACCGGAACCAGACACGAATTGAACAGAACATTTTCCGTGACTCAACCTCTGTCAAACCGCCCGAGCTGCTGGACATCATCACCACCTGACCGTTGTTCGACCCCCCGTCCCCTCTTCTACTGATCCAGTTTTTTTCTCTTCAATTCCTCAAACGGTGAAGAAAAAAAAGACCCAAACACCATTGAATATCGTTTTCTAACATAGGTGCCTCCCCCACAGGATACCACTCCCGCCCCCGAACGCAAACAGCGCAAATCCGTCGCCTTCACAGACGAGCAAGTAGTAGTCGACGCAGACGGTTCAGTCACAATGGTCAACGCCACCGAGGAACCCAAGGAGACAGCCCAGTCGCACACGCCCCGTACGCCGCCGCTTACCGCAGCCCTTGAAGCCTTACATGCTGATGCCAATTCTCAAGCTGGAGCCGAAGATGCGACGGCCCCTGTCCCCGATGTTGCTGAAGATGGCGGGCTCGACCTGTCAATGAAGAAAAAGAAGAAGAAGAAGGTTCCCAAGGAAGGTGACGACGCTGAGGAGGCTGCCGCTGGCGAGGACGGCGGTCTTGACCTGTCGATCAAAAAGAAGAAGAAGAAGACGAAGGTTCCCAAGGACGGCGATGAGGACGAGTTCACCGCTAAGCTCAAGGCCCTAGAGCTCGAGGGCAAGGAGGAGGGCGCCGAGGCCGAGGGTGCTGCCGACGATGGCGACATGGACCAAGGTACCGGTATTTGGCAGCACGACGAGACCAAGGCCCTCAGCTACAGCCTGCTCCTGAACCGCTTCTTCCACCAGCTGTCTCAGAAGAACCCCGACCACGCTCTGAGCGGCTCCAAGAGCTACAAGATCCCGCCCCCGCAGTGCATGCGTGAAGGCAACAAGAAGACCATCTTTGCCAACATTGCCGAAATTTGCAAGCGTATGAAGAGAACCGAGGAGCACGTCACAGCCTACCTCTTCTCCGAATTGGGTACCAGCGGTTCCGTCGACGGCAGCAGACGCCTTGTTATCAAGGGTCGTTTCCAGCAGAAGCAGCTTGAGAACGTGTTGCGCAAGTACATTAGTGAGTCTTTGCTCGGTGCCCCTGACGTTTGCTGCCGCGTAGATGCTGACCAAAGTTCTTTTCTTTCCCTACAGTCGAGTACGTCACCTGCAAGACCTGTAAGCTTACGAACAAAATACCCCACCATTGCGTCTCGTTGCGATTACTGACAACCGACCCCAGGCAAGTCCGCCGACACCGAGCTGTCCAAGGGAGAGAACCGTCTGTACTTCATTACTTGCAACTCTTGCGGTTCGAGACGTTCCGTCACCGCCATCAAGACCGGTTTCTCCGCCCAGATCGGAAAGAGAAGAAAGATGCAGGGTTAAGCGACGACAACCAAATTATGACCCCACGGACCAGAAACGAGAAAAGAGTTGGAGAGGTGTTTCTTCTACGCTATTTACGTCCTTTAGCGTACTCTTGTCTTGTAGATATGACCTTCGCTGGCCCAGGCAGTGTGCACTGCGGCATTCACAGCTGCGGCGCTCCGGGTGGCCAATGGATTGATGGCACAATAGAGAAAATTGGCGTTTCCACCCTTAAAAATTGGTACGGTAGTCGGGCAGTAATGTCAAATTTCTTGATGATGCTCATGTCTTCGGCATTCTTTTAAACACGCGTATCTGCAGTAACCAGCAGTCTGTGGAAATCTACGACAGCAGTGACGCAGGCCGCGGACGTGTGTCAATGATGCCGCGTTTCGGCTTTCGTACGGCGGGAGGAGAGCAAGGGCCGGAGGGGCAAGGCCGGGCGACCTCACATGTGCGGCGACCTATAGTCAACCACCACCACCACCACTTTTCTCGCCCAGGCACATGACTGATCAGTTCACGCGACCATCACATAAATACCAACATTGACGACTGCATTTCACACAGAACTTTGGCTGCAGTAAAAGTCTCTAACATCCAATTCACAACATTCCAAAAACGGCACATCGCGGTCTTATAAAGCTTATCAATAACCCCTCAACCCCGATAAGAAACCCCGAGCATCTCAACTTAACCCTCAACAAGCAAAGCAATGACAGGCGAAACCCTCCAGCCGGGCCAAGCCGATCTGCCCTCGGCCAAGAGCACGGCGTCGTACTGGCACCGCGAGCCTTCCAAGACGCTGCTTGGCCACCGGACCACACGGGACCTGCCGCCGACCGCGGACGTCGTCGTCGTCGGCAGCGGCATCACGGGCGCGTTCGCTGCCAAGGAGTTGCTGGAGCGGGCTGGCGCCGGCGCTGGTGGGGAGGGGAAGAGGGTTGTTCTGCTTGAGGCGCGGGAGGTTTGTTGGGGGGCTACCGGACGGGTGAGTTCTTTCAATTTCTTGTGTATTTTGAGAATGTCTCGTTATGGAGGTTCTTCCATTGTTTGGAGGGGCTTAGACGGGGGTGACTTCCTTATCATCGTCTCACTCACTCATACACGCCATACTATCTATCCCCACCAACATCCCAAGCCCTCCGATTTACCTTAAAAAGGAACCTTTAGAACTAACTTGACAATCTAGAACGGCGGCCACTGCCAGCCGGTAGCTTACAACCCAAACACCGCCATCGCAACCTTTGAGCTCGCAAACTACGCCCACATCCGTGACCTCATCGCCAGCAATGCCATCCCCTGCGACTGGGTCTCCCTCCGCGGCGTTCACGCCCTGCTGACGCCCGATCTCGTCGACGCCGCTCGCAAGCAAATCGCCGCATTGCCGCCCCGCTTCGCGTCGCTCGCGCGCCTCGTCACGGACGCGGAGGAGCTCGCAGACCTCAGGATCCCGGACGCCGCCGGCGCCGTCGTGCAGGAGGAGGCGGCAAGCGTGTGGCCCTACAAGCTCGTGTCGTGGATCTTTGAAGATCTGCTGCGGAGGTTCGGAGTGGACAAGGCTGACGTGGACACTTTGACGGGAAACGTCGGGCAAGGTGTCTCCTTCAACATCCAGACTTCCACGCCTGTGACACGCCTCCAACACCTTGCCCCCTCAACCCCGTCCGGCACACCATCATGGATCCTCCACACCCCTCGCGGCCAAATCGCCACCGCGCAAGTCCTCCTCGCCTCGAACGCCTACACCTCGCGCCTCCTCCCCCGCTTCGCAGACCTCGTCGTCCCCGTCCGAGGTCAGGTCGCCGCCCTCTTCCCGCCCCGGCCGCGCGCCGAGCTCGGGAGGAGCTATGTCTTCATGGCGAGCTCCGACGCCGCGAAGGGTGAGCCGAACCAGGATGATTACCTCATACAACGGCCCGGCCCCGGGCTGGAGATGATTCTGGGCGGTGGGCGGGCGAATGGGACGCTGCGCGGGGTGGGTATTTCTGACGATGACGAGGTTGATCCTGTTGTTGCTTCGTATTTGAGGCGGGCTGGGGCGAGAAATCTTGATCTTGCTCGCACTACTGATACTGGTCGCACTAATACGGTCACGGGGACAGGGCAGACGCAGACGGAGGCGCAAGATGAAGAGGACAGCGCCACCAACGCCAACAGCAAGAAGGAGCTACAAGCGAGTCACGAGTGGACGGGCATCATGGCCTTCTCGCGCGACGGCAGGCCGTGGGTGGGACAAGTGCCCGCCGGGACCGTCCTCGGCGGCGGGGAAGGGCTGTGGGTCTGCGCCGGGTATACCGGGCACGGGATGCCGCAAGCCGCGCTGTGCGGGCGGGCTGTGGCGGGTATGATGATCGGCGGCGGCGGCGACGGCAGCAGCAGGAGGGAGGATGACGTGGATGGGGAGGAGGAGCTTCCGGCTGAGTTCTTGGTCAGTGAGGAGAGGGCTGAGAAGGCGAGGGCTTTGCCTTCCATCAAGGAGATGGATGACTTGGATATGTTCTTGTTGTAGACAAAGGTGTGCCTGTCATGGCGAATCTCTGTGCAACTTCGGAATAGGGGCGTGTGTAAACGGTGCAGTTCCTCTGCGAGTTTTCGACATCATCCTCTGTACAGCATAGGTAGCTCTTGCAGCTACAAAAGCCCAGTCTGTGGCAATGGATAGATCATCTAGACCTCGTCTTCCAACTCAACGAGACATCGGGATATCGGTCCTCTGTGAACAGTTTCCCTCGCCAAAATGGAACAACAATGAGGGCAAGGCGCATTGCGAGGATGGGACTGGACTTAGGCCATCTCTCTTTCTCTAGTCTTCGGCTCGTGAAACCAGCCTTTACCAAATAAGTCAAGGCAACTGAGGCGCAGGCAGACGAGGAATGCTGAACCGCCGCCCGGCTCGCTGGACTGGCCCAGGACGATCCGGATCGTTGCGGAGCGAGACACGTACAAGCCTGGGTGTCAGAGAGAATCGCCTCTGCAGACTCCAGAGAGGCAAGAGAAGGGGGGGGCGAGGGGGCTTTGGGGGCTCGACGGCTAATGCAGCCACGGTAACAGATGCGATGCAGAATGTCTCTGTCAGGCTGGGCGATGTTTGCTTTTTCTCTCCTCTTTGGAGTTTGGACGTCACCTGAGCTGGTCGTTGGAATGTTCGACTGTGTCATTTTGCAAACCAGTGGGAGGCTAGGTTTTGCCCCTCCTTTGCCTACCATGGCGAACATTTCGTCAAATATCATTGCGTTTTGAGGGGAATCTCATGAGGGTTCTCAGACATTAAGAATGCCAAGATGTGGAAGAGGGCAGTCACTCGGCCGATTGTCCAGGAAACGCGGAGAGTGGGATTGCAGATTGAGTTCCAATAATGGGATTTTTCTACTTTTTGTTTTTGTCCTGGAAACCACATTGGTCCCAATAGCCCATTCGGGGATACCATATGGTGATAACACCCCTGATAGATATATACATTGAAAGTTAAGTTTAGAAACTGACCGGTGGACAAGCATATCCACAAACAGAACACCAAATGCATCCGCCCAGGATGGACCCACGAACGGAGTACGCATACACAGGTATAGAGATATTCGTCATCACGTCATCAAAACCGTAGTTTTGTTCGTAGTCTTTTTGTTATCCAATCCAGTCCCGTGCTGTGAACCAGGCGCCGTCCTCATTCAAGTGAGGTGAAATGTGACCATAATTGTTATTGAGATTTGAGTGAAAAATGGCTGTCTTGGGAAACTGCCATGGTAGGTGATCAGCGCGGCACCTCCATTGGGAAGCGGCATGGCAAAAGACGATGAAGCACCCGCGGAACCCCAGAGAAGCTGGAGCGAGAGCGCGCACCAGTGCGCCTCTCAGTCAAGGAACTTCCACTCGACAGTTCCGCGACCAACGCCGAGGCTGCCGAAGAGTTCGAGGAAGGCCTTCTCGCTGACGTCAATGGCATCCGCCTCGCAGCCCATGCACTTGTCGCGGACGGTGGCAGTGGTGGTCTTGCCGTTGCAGGTGATCTGGACCTTCTTTCCGCAGTACGGGTTGCCGTTGGACTGGGCACCCATGACCAAGTGAGAGACGGCAACAATGTTCTCGGTGTTGTCCTTGCCGCTGTCGTCCTCACCGCAGGCGCCAAGACCAACAGCGTAGTAAGTCAGGTCACCAGTGTGCGTGGTGCCGCCAGAACCACCGCCGGAACCACCAGAAGCAGCGGAAGTGGTCGCGGGAGGGGCCTGGCTGGTAGTAGGTTGAGGCGCGGGGGCGGGAGTAGTGGACGTGGTAGGAGCCGGCGGGGGAGCAACGTAGACAGAGGTTGAAGTCGGGACGGGCTCGGGAGTCGGGGTCTGGGGAGCAGGGACGGGCGTAGATGTGGTGGTGGGGATGGGAGCTGGCGCCTGCTGCTGAACGGATTCCTTGATGGGAGAAGCAGCCGCGGAAGGCTTGGTGGAGGTTGACAAGGTGGTGTAAGACGGCTGGTCGGCGGGCTCAAAGAATTGGGCGGGAACGGAGGTGGTAGGAAGCGCCGAGCTGGTGGACGAGACCTCGGGTTCAACCCAAACGGTGGAGGTTGAATCAACATATTCGGTCACGTATGCGGTCTCGGTAACCCACTCGGTGACGAGGTGACGCTTCTGGTGCTTGCCGTGGACATGGCGGCGTTTGCTTCCATGCTGATGGGGCTGGGCAATGGCAGTGGTAGCCAGGACGGCGCAGAGGAAGGCGGCGGTCTTCATTTTGGCTTGTCGAAGACTGTGTTGGTAGTCGAAGTGGTTTTGGTTTGTGTGATTCAGGAGACTTATACGGCCTCTTGATAGTAAACTTGGTGATCGTCCTTTCCGTCAAGGTGGAGATGGAAGCGAAATGAATGCAATGGGCTAAGCCTCTTGATCAGGGAATGTGCTTGCTACAGCGTGGGAAGCCTGGTTGGGTTCAAGGTTGTCGATGGGAGCTCGGAGCAGTCCTTGGTATGTACTTGATGTTTGGAGGCAGACTGATTCTGTAGAGTTGGGATGAAAAGGGAGTTCACTGAACTCTCTGTGTGACGACAAGACGGGATGAATCCGTTGGTTGGTAGTTTGGATGAACCTCGAAACAGTCTTCTGTGAAGGAATGAATTGGTGGGACTGATAGTTGGTCGAGCACTGCTCAAGGGTCCAAGAAAAATGAATGAATGGGTTTGTGGTCAAACAAGAGGGAGCGTTGTTGGATGAGGAAAAGAGAGAAAAAAGAAAGATCAAAAAAGGTGTACGAGACTGGGAAGCGGATGTCGACCAGGATTTGTATGGCAGGCAAAAACTGCACCAGACGACAGGCACACAAACACGACGTTGGAGTCCTGGACAGCAACATCCAGGGCCGGCCGCAGGGCCAGGCACAGGTGAGCCACTTCGGGACTGGCGAGACTGGGCGAGGTGGGAAGAGGGGGGCGCGGAAAGCAGGGCTCAGGGGGTGTGCGTGGTGGAGGAAGAGGAGGAGGCCTGCAGGTCTTGCTAGCGCTGGCACCATTCATCCAATGCCACCACCCTCTCGCCCAACCAAGTGACGAAGGAGCTGCTGACGGTGCCCTCGGTACCTGAGAGAGCATGGAAGCGCTGTCCAGGCACAACCAGGGCCGCACCGTAGGGACGGGTAGCGTCCTACAGAAGTCGCGAAAGCCCCGAGAGGGAATAAACAGCAAAAGTGGGGGGATGACTGCAGTTCCTCCACTGAGAATAGCAGTCATTAGGACGAGGTGCAAAGAGAAGAACCCCATAGTACTGGAGATCCTCCCCCTTGGCCGAGGCAGTTTCTCTGCGTTTTCTGAGCGAGTCGTCAATCGGCACTGAGATGGTTGACTTCACGGCAACTGTCGTTCGCTGACCCTGGCTCTGGGGCTGGACGTCCGAAAAAAGAACAGACCAAGACAGAAGAAGCAACTTGAACGGTCCATGGAGGTGCGAGAATAGCCCGTTGGATCCGTTAGCGCAGCCTCTTGGGAGTCTTGACCGACCTGCTTGCTGCATCATTGGCACCGGCCCACCAAGGGACAATCCTCACAAAAAAAAAAAATACGTGCTTCGGGCCATTTCTGGCGGGCCGGGCTTGCTTCGTAGCCTTGAAGGGGATGGACTCGACTCCTTGATACGGGCGTGGCCCCCTCTTGACCCTCCAACAAGGCTCGATCGATCCACCATCTTGATGTTTGCTGGCCATTCGCCTAAACAACCCCAGGACCCCAAAACTGTCGTTGTCTGGAAGTCAAGCCGTTAGTCCTGGTAAGCAGGGCGGACTACTGCACACTAACCCAGACATCAGACAAGCGGAACTGGGTGCCGAGGAAACGTAAGCCGTTCGTCGTTTTGGCCAGTCAGTGAACCAGCAACTGACAACGTCGTGACTCGTTTTCGGACTGACAGGAAATCATCGTCGTATGGACGGCAATTGGGTTGTCGGGAAGTGGAAAGAAGATCGGACAACATAAGGTGGGTAGCGAGGCGCAGGCCATGGATCTTGGAGTTCGGGGGCGGCAGGATGTAGCCGAAAGTCGTAAAGTCTTGCCAAGTCAGCAAGCATCACATAGCCAAGTATTGAGCCCATCACATGTCTCTAGGGCCTTACCGAGACCGATTCCCTCGCGGCTGGTTTGGTAGGTATGTCCTGTCTGGTCTCTGCCAGCTGACGTGCTCTGCTATTTTGTCGCGACAATCGCTTGATCGCGGTAGGCAGTGACTGTGTGACTCCGTCCCATGTCCTTGCTATTGCCCGCTCGTCCAACCTTTCACTTCGTCTCTCCACGGACTCAAATCTCTCTGTCCAACTTGCCTTGTCGCTTGTCACAATGCCATCTTGTTTCCTTCCCCGGCATTGCATGATTGGACGAACCGTCGGACAGGTGCTTGTTCCTTGAAACACGCGGAAACTGGGAAAAGGGTTCCAGCTTTTTTCACTAGTCAAGAGTCCAGGGGGAAAAGAGGCCCAGACAGTGCCAGGGTCCGAACACCGTTGAACACCCCTCCTTGGGAATCCTGGATGCGAAAGAATGACGATCAGCCGGTGGCTCCGGGGGGCCCAGAGAGTACCGCAGTCGAGGACGGGTACCTGCTTGTCAGCCGCCAATCTTTACGCACATTCGGTAGGGTACTCTGTGCTGCGCGGAGGCCTGCGACGTATTGCTGGAATGTGGACGGCTCGTTGCCGCGCTGGAGAGACAGGAAATATTCCATTGTTTCTTTGCTTCATCTTCTTCTTCTTCTTCTTCGTTTTTTGGTCGGATGAAGCAGTGTTCAGCGCCCATGGCGGCTGGCTGCGATGTAACATTGAACAGACTGTGCGCCCATGGAAACATTGAGAAACAATGGTCGAGAAATTGGGGATGTTACCTTGCCACGCCGCGGCTGCCCCCATCATCGCACGCGGCAGGTACCTGTATCCGTACCTAACGTCAGCACCACACTACAGCGCAGGTGTGGATTGTTCCTGAAGTCCAGGCCAGTGCCGAGGGGCCGTCGTTGGAACATCAATTCGCGAGAGAAGAGAGACCGAGGGTAACACCAACAAGACTTCTGAAGGTATACTGTGTGTGCCTGAGGCTCCAGATGGGCACCTGCCAGCCCGAAGGAAGGAAGGGGGGAACTTGGCTGCTTGGGGAAGGGCCGAAGGGGGAGGAAGAAAATGGCAGGAGAAACGAACAGACAGGATTCCAGGAACGATACAACAATAGAACCTAACAAGGCGACGTCGTCCAGCGCCCACGGCTCCGAGCAAACCCAGCCTGCACGGGTTCCTTGCAGCTGCAAGGTACGCGCCAATCACAATTAGACTTTGCCCTGAGCCTCCTCTCTCAGCGCAACCCTCACAGCCCGTCTGGCCCCCTGGCCCGGCTCTGATCCCGGACGATCAGCAGCTCAGGCAATGCCACATCACTTTAACCACTCACCCACTGGGCCAGCAGCCAGCTCTAGCAAGCCATTGCCCTGGAACTATGTTTGTTGGTTCCCTTCAATCCCTCCCTCTCCTCTCAGCTCTGACACGACATGCATCTTCTATGAGGGCCTATTCTGCCACTTCCGGACTTGCCAACCAACCTGCAGTAGTCGGTGGATATTCTAACACGTCGGACCACGTTCCACGAGCGCCAAATTTGCAGAAATACTCCACTCTGGCATCTCACTGGATAAGCCCTTAAAGGGCGTGCAGGAGCCTTCAGCTGGCTAAAGGTCAAGGTGGGAAGAAAACCCCTCACACTGTTTTTATTCCCGTTGCCAGTGTGTTGGACGTTGAAGTTGTGATACTTGACCGGGTCACCAGAGAGACTAACATCGGCCGCAGCAACTGTTGTATCTCATTATTCTTGATGGTCCCGGGCAAGTCGAGTAATATTTGTGCAGAGTGATGGCCTAGAACAAGCGGTCGAATATCGCAGTCCGGGTTGTTTTTATGTCCCCCTCCATCGTCTCCACCGTTCCTGACGATCATCATGGCGTATGAACTATTAATGGTGCATAAATGATTTGCTTTCTATTGATCTTAATATTCCCCATCTCATTGACGACACGGATGGAAGTCCCTGCTTCCCGTCGTTGATATTGACGTAAGTTCCGGGGCACAATTGCCGTCGCTCAAAATCACCCATCCGAAATGCCGCAAGCTGGTCTTTGCTTGCCGGGGTACGTAATGCGATCAGGGAACCACTCGCAAGCTTGGCCATCGTCTAGCTCTTCTGCGGTCTGTCATTGTGCCGCTGGGTGAGCCACTTGAATGGCAGAATGACGGTCTCCGATATGTTTGTATCATCCCCGACGGCCACCTTGAACTTTGCTTGCTACTATGTTCCCTCTATTGTTGACTCATGGCTCGAGTGCTTTGGCAGATGTGCCATCGTCCAGCAGAAGCAGAGTCTCTTCAACTGATGAGGAGCTCTCGCGCTTAGGAACATCTGGTGTCCCGCGGCCGAGGCGCGATGCTCTATCGCTCCAGAAATGGGGTCGCCCATTCGAAGATCACATCAAATCTAATCACTTTCGGTTCCCGTTTGAAGTCGGCTTCTTGCTTGCAAAAGTGTAGAGGAATAGGCCCTCTCTGCTGAAGACGGGGCGATCTTCGTCGACGATTTCCGTCACCAAGAACGCCTTTTGTGCCTTCTTGAGAAACTGCATGTCCGCACGTCTCCTCTTCTTGAAGCAGAAGTAGATAATCGCGTCTGGGTCCAACGCTAACAGGTTGGTCAGAGTCTCCAGCAAGAGTGGAAATGCCGGCTCGAAGTAGACGCAATCGGCTGCCAGAATGACATTGGGCTTGAAATCGACAACCTCTTGCGGTAGCGGTTCGCCCCTATGGTATTGATCAGTCATCCGTACATCAGCCGAACGGTAGCTCGAGTCCCTTCGAGTTTCCTGCATAAGAACACCTTCGGACGTTCATGTGGACCATGTGAGTTTGAATCCATTCGAGGGTCTCGAGCATCTCGAAGATCTCGAAGCACCCTAGGCTTCCTACCGTGCACATAGACATTCTGGCCCCCGTGGCGTTCCCGGACGGGACCTCTGGGGATGGATGCGCACGGCTGGGATCAAGCGAGCTGGGGGTAAATTACTCACCAGTTCAGGATCATGGGCTTAACTTTGTCTTCGAGGTTATTCAACTTGGTGTTCCGTCCCATCAGCTCGAACATCTCGTCTTGGTCTGTGAGGTACAGCGTTTCCTGCAATCCACAACCTAAAGCCACAGCCAGTCCGACGAGTCCGCCGCCGGCGCCCAGCTCAAGTCTATTTGCTCCGAAAAGCCCCGAGTCAGCTCAGTCCATAGCAATGATGTCTCCTCGTGCGATGACGGCGCTTGGACTAGGACTAGATATCATGTAGCATGGTATGAACCAGTAGTAGAACATGATAGACCACGAGGCCGAGAAGAGAAGCAGACGTGGCAGTAGGTACGCAATAGAAGTGGCTTAATGACTAACATTCTCGCGCCCTTGAGGTTCTCTCGATGGTAGCGCAGCATGTGTTTTGTAAGCACCATGCCTGCAGGCCAGGTTTGACCGCCGCATCCCGAGGCGAGATCTTCATGGAGTTGAAGGGGAGTTGACAGGAGGCCGGACATGTCATAGGCTGACGTAGTTGCGGCCTTGTAGGTGGGGAGCGGTGTGAAGTCTTCGCCAATGGCCAAGGGCGAAAACTCAGGCGAGGGAGAGCGGTCGAGTGACTCCATCTTCTCTGGTATGAGGGGGTTGTTGAGAATCCGCATAATGCTATTGTGTGTGAGAAGCAGCCCAGGGAGCGCACGGAAACAGCTTGAAGTAATAAGGCGAGGCAAAGTAGGTTGAGCTTATTGGCAGTAGGCCGACACAAGCGGCTGAGCGGTGCTCTTTCTACTTAGGCAGGCAGTGATTGTCGGGAAACGGTGCAGATCTACCTAAGGTAAAGACTGGAGGCTAGAAGTAAAAATGGCAGGCACGGAAGAGCGGTATCGCTGGCCTTTTTTTGCATGGGATTTTATTTTTATTTTATTTCAACGTCCGTTTTGCTGAGGCCGACGACAATCTAGACTTTCCGATAAGGGGAGGTGCGTTTTGCCTCAAGCGGGGTTGCCCCTTCTTCGCTGCGCGCTTTCCGCTTCAACCATGTTCAGGGTCCTGCACTCTCCGCTCTTTCCAATTTGTTTGGCAACGACGGTTGATTTGAGCCTCACTGGCATGTGGGTGACAAAATCGATTTCCTGCTTTTCATCTTCATAAGTACCCCTTTCACTGCTCATATCATAATTACTACCCTTTATATTAAAGTTCTTCTGAGGTATATACTCAGAGGAATATACTCTGCCTAATAGATATTAATGCTAGTGATAATAGCGGTGGAACTGCTTGTCGGATGTGTGAGGCTGAAATCAATTTTGTCACCCACTTGACTGGGTAGAAGCGTGGCTTGTGTGGGTGGAAATCGGAAGAAGCCTTCGTTACGCTCCGATATTGCGGGATACCCAAGCAGGGCTTACCTAACAAAAGGGAACCACATGTCCTGCCCTCCTGCCTCTCCCAAGTACTCCCGATTACACCATCTTATCCTCCTGTCAAGCACAAGACCGAGTAAGCTTGACGAATGTATTGTCCAATGTAAAGCAATGGACTGTTTAATCAACCCTCGAACTAACCCGCAGAACAAACCTAATACATTCCGGACCTCGTCGAACCACACGTTCCGAGTGGACATGTCTCATCCCGCCTCCCTCTATGCCTCAGGGCCTAACCTATCCCCAACACCCTTGAGGCGCTTCAACCCGCCGCTGGAATGCAGTCCTCGATTAGTCGCCTTCTGACACTCCAAGTATGGCAAGTGAACCTTTGCCACGCTGAAACGATTGCTTCTTCGAGTGAAGTAGTACCCTCCGTTGACCGACCACATGGAAGGGCGGCAGTTCGGGGAGGACGCGCCCACCCGCAAATCCCTTCTCAGGGCGTGATCACTGGCACGAAGGGAGACACGTAGCACCAGAAAACGAGAGCCATGGACCACGAGATTCGCGCCGAGGATATCCTCTACGGGTAAAGTTATCGTCCTAGGCTTCTCTCGTTTCTGATGAGATAACCTTCTGTTTGACATGGTCTTCTCTGATTGATTTTGTTTTTGTTTTCCGCTCCTCTGGCTCGCAGATGCCGCTCCTTTCGTACAACGCATCAGTCATGGCAATGTACGTGATGTTGTCTGTGTTCCTGAGTCTAGCTGCGCTTGCAGGAGCCGTACCAGTCGTTTACTTCCCATTCAACTCTCAGCTACCACCTGCGACGAGGATATCGGAGCCGTTTTCGTACACTCTTTCACCTCAAACGTTTTCTTCGCAATCCCGACTATCTTACAGCCTCCTGAACTCGCCGGCATGGCTTTCGATCGATGCTAGCACCGGCCGGCTCTCTGGAACCCCCGAAGACAAAGATGTTCAGGCAGGAGAAGTTGTGGGCATCCCGGTGGACATCGTTGCAACGGACGATTCTGGGTCTGCTACGATGACGGCCACTCTCGTGGTGACGAGGAGGCCTACACCCAAGCTCAATATCCCGCTATCAGAGCAAATCAAGAATTTCGGTGATACATCATCGCCATCTGCCGTCGTGGCCTCTCCCGCCTCCGACTTCTCCTTCACATTCGCCAAGGACACGTTCTCTCATGCTGGAGATGGGCTAAACTACTACGCCACTTCCGCAGATAGCAGCCCTTTGCCTTCGTGGATCAAGTTCGACGCCGGCAGCCTCACATTTGCCGGGAAAACACCACCATTCGAGTCTCTCGTCCAGCCGCCCCAAAAATTCGACTTCAGCCTCGTTGGTTCTGACATTATCGGATTCTCGGCTGTTTCCGTTGTGTTCTCCATCGTTGTTGGTGCCCACAGATTGACAACAGACACGCCTACCATCGAAATCAACGCAACGCGCGGGACGAATGTGTCATATACGGCACTCGCCGGTAGTATCAGGTTGGATGGGAATTCTACAACGCCATCCGAGCTGAACCTCACCGTATCCGGCCTTCCGAGCTGGCTCTCGGTCGATAATAATACTTTCGAAATCCAGGGTAATCCCCCTGAGGATGCAAAATCTTCAAACTCTACGCTCACTTTCCGGGATGTATACTCTGATACTCTTGACATTATTCTATCGGTGTTCGTCGTTACGCGAATCTTCCGGAACACAAACTTGAGCATCGAGGCGACACCGGGAAAGAACTTCACCTTCGACGTGGAACCGTATCTATGGACGCCTTCAGACATTGATCTAAGTATCGACTCCTCAGCAGACTGGGTCAATGTCGATGGCTTGGTCATATCGGGAATGCCGCCCAAGACTACATCCCCCGAGAATATTACAGTCAACGTCAAGGCGGCATCAAAAAGCTCAGAGGAGACCGAGACGGTGACGGCAGACTTGGAAGTCTTACCTCTACCAGCCACTACTACCACCGATTCTCCCACATCTTCTACTAAGCCAACAAATCCCGCGCCTACAAGCGACCCGCAACAAGGCTTGAAAGCTGGTTATATCGCACTGGCGATTCTCTTACCACTTCTATTCCTCGCCATTGTTGTCCTCTTAATCATATGTTGCCGGAGGAGGCAAAAGCGAGAATCGATCCACGAGAACTTCAAAAACAGCATATCGGAACCAGTACCTGGATCGTTTGTGATGAACGGAGGGGCTCACAGCAGAGACGGATCATCGGTTGGGGATTTAAAGAAGCCTGAGGACAATCGACGCAGCAGGGGTTATTTCAACTCTGCTGTACAAAAGATGAGACAATCGAGGACGCTTTCAACCATTACCGGCTCTCGTATGTCACAGTCAAATACGAACAACCGCTCATCATACTGGAGGGGATCTGAAAGAAGCCCTACGCCGAGATCCCCATCCGTCACGTCGTCCTGGCTTACAGAGGGCGTCCTGTTTCACCCTCAGCACACGCATCAGGGATCGACGAGCACCTACGACGGCCCGAGTGACGTGCTATCTGGATCTTCTGGCTTTCTCCAGGGTCAACGAGATGATTCTTTCCGGAGCGTGCTGGACGTCACCATCCCGTCTATAAATGCGGAAACAAGTAGTATCCAGGCAACACCTGACCTTGCTTACACGAGCCCGTGGGGAGAGCCATCCAGATTGACCCTCGACAGGTCGCAGCTGCTACCGGGCGCCTCTGGCTCTGACAGTCTGGCCTCGATCCCAGAACAGCCAACGCCATTGGGCTCAAATCCCACGAATGGCAATAGGTTTTCGCCGTCACAACGACCACGGAAAGCTTTCCCTATCATGAGTGACTTGGGATCACAAAGCAGTCTTCGCAGCTCGAGATCGGGATCAGGAAGGGGCAGGTTCGTTCGGCAGGATTCAAGGCCGGATTCGCGTCATGGCTCAGTTTCACGACCGATCAGCAGGAAGTCTGATTCAAGTCCCTTCTTCGGCGGTCGCTCAGTCGTTCCCTCGCGCAACAGGTACATTCTGGACAGCGACGACTCTGATTCCCTCGAGTCGGCCAGGGGTACGGAGAACTGGCGGACGATACCGCCACCGAGAGACTCGCTCGGCATCGCCTACGAGGAATTGACACGAAGCTCTCCCTTTATGAGACACACGCCATCGCTGTCTCCTCGGCCTCTCAGCATCATCAAGAAAGACTCGAGCGGGCCGGTGAACAGGGACAGCCGGGTAGGCAAGCAAACTCCTCTGTCACGGCAATCATCATCCAGCTCCAACATCATGGCCGGACGCTGGAACAGGGACTCTCTCATGCAGCGACGTGCCTCGGGCAACCGGCCTGATTACGCATCATCAAGGGCAAGCAGCGAAGTGCTGGGCAAGGGGAAAGGGTTGGCGCGATACTCGTCGGGGCCCGAGTCGGAGGGATCTGGCTGGGTGACGGAAGCCGGAACAGTGGGGAACAAGGGTCCTCGGAGTCGGCGAGACAGCAGCAGTGAGGATTTCCGCGTGTTCATGTGAGAAAAGGTGACGAGGGTGGGCGGGATGGCCACACCTCGTTACCCCACGATATAACTTGTCTTTCGTTCAGAAGCGTCTTTGCGATTTTGTTATACCCGCCCCGAGCAGAGTCGCTTGCTCAAGTGTTATTCTTTACTTGATTTAGTCCGTTCTTTGACGATGGAAAGTGGGAACTATGGATATGAGGATCTAGTAATTTTTTTGTATGGAGAAGAGATAAAGACCACCACCCACAACCCTGTCCAGGTAAACCCAGACCGTAATGTTGAATTGGCGATGCCACAAAAGTTTATTATCTAAGAGGGCGGACCCCTTTTTCGTGTCTCTGTTTGGCAAAATCCCGCTGAGTCTGTGCTTCCGGAAAGGCTTGTAAGTTGTGGGGGTTGGCTAACTTGGCTCGCATCGCGCCCACGGCACGCCTACGGCAGCACCAAATGGCAGATGCTTAGCAAAATGAGTTGCTTAGGTAAGCATGCCAAGTGGAGAACGTTCACCCTCATGGGCCCTTGCCTGTCCTGTGCCCCAGCCTCGGATTGGCACGATTGGATAGGTAGGTATTTTAGGGAAAAGCGGCCTCTGGGGTTGATACTAGTCACTTAGATCGGATTCCCCGAAGTGACAGCAAAGAGCTTGGACCTCATTTACCGTCCATTCATGTCTGGTTGTTCAGGTCCTAGCTTCGCTCGGGCCAAGAAGGGGACGGGGGAAAGAAGGAGCACGGCGGAGAGGAGAGGGCCTGAAAAGGGGAGGGGGGAGATGGGATTCT